CAATTTTAAAATATTGCTCCATGAGAATTCGTATTCAAGCAGTTCAGTAATCCGAGTAAAGTTCTCAGCTCTTTTGTATTTGTAGAATTTGGCTATATCATAGCATGTGATTCTAAGATGCAAGTATTATCCCTCGTGTCTGATGCAGATTATGTTGTTTTTGTTGCTGCCTTCTCAAAATGCAGGTATCATCCTGACAAGAATGCAAATGATCCTAAAGCAGCGGACATGTTCAAGGAGGTCACCTTTTCATATAACATTTTATCTGATCCGGATAAAAGGCGTCAATATGACTCAGCTGGTTTTGAGGTTAGTTTTTTCCCTCACTGTAGTCTGTAGGACGAGAAGTTAATTTAGTTTTACTTTTCCTAAGCATATGATGCCTTCTGGTTGATAATTTATTTTCTATTAGAATGTTGTAGCGCTCTTTATCCTAGATCGCTATCTTTAATAGATTAAGAGTTATGTGTAGACTTCCACTTGTGCATTCCTCATAGAGAAATGAAAATGTTGATGCTCTACCTAATATAAGTATTATTTAAACAGGCTGTTGAGTCAGAAAGCCAAGAATTGGAGCTTGATCTTTCAAGTTTGGGAACTGTAAACACTATGTTTGCTGCACTTTTTAGGTCAGTCCGTGTCGCGTGTAAATTTTTATGTTCCTTTTCGGTGAATTCAGACTTCTGCTTGTGACATCTGTGCTGCATGATAATGAATTTTCACTTTATTTGCATTATGAGCAGTAAACTTGGTGTACCAATAAAAACCACAGTCTCCGCAACTGTTCTAGAGGAAGCCTTAAATGGTTCAGTACCTATACAACCACTTCCACTTGGGCAGCCTTTGTGTAAAAAGGTATCAATCTATAAATCCTATGTCATTCACACTTGTTAAAAATTGGTTGCTGCAGAAGTTCTTATCTTCTTCTTAACAGGTAGAAAAACAATCTGCTCACTTCTACTCTGTTAACATAACAGAAAAGGAAGCGAAGGGGGGCCTTGTCTGCCGAGTTTATTCACGAGAAAAAAGCAAATTCAAGGTCTGTCCAATCTAAAGCCAAATATCCATAGGATTACTTTATTGTATATATTTGGTCAACTGAATGCTTGCTACTTGGAACCAGATTTCTAGGAAACTAAACTTCAAGATTTTCTTGCTACTAGAAGTGCGCTAAATTGCTAATAGAGGACTGCTACATTTGCTGTTGCTTTGACAAACTTTTAATTGACAGATATTGTCACCTAGCGATGCTTAGCTGAGTTAGAGACTTAATAATGTGTCTCTAGAATATATTCAAATATTTCCATCATTAGATTGACTCTCTTTTGTTTTCGTGATAAAGCATTCGATAGACATAACCTCTTGGAAGCTTTTTCTCATATCTCTTTCTCACTTGGGTTTGATATACTCATCTCTGTTGCTGTCTGTATTATTCTATTGTCTTAAGGTTTCTGTCTTGACAATGCTGTAGACCTTGGTAATCGGTACATTTATTTCTGTGATTGGTTGATCTTAAGTAATCCTAGAAATGTTCTATGGTGGCAGGCCCCTTGTTAAAATTTTAGGACCTTGTAGAAATGTATTATCAGACATCAGTAGTAGATACCTCATATATGAGGTTACACTAAACTATTTTTCTAGTTGTAAAATGTGGGCAGAGAAAGAGGAAAAGTCTAAGATAATTCTTCTATGTTTACAAAAAGGGTAAAATTGTGTCACCATTTCTGATTTCTGCCCTGTCTGGAAGTTGATCCCAGGAAATTTTACTTGTCATAGAAAGTGCTCGCTAGTTGAATTGTGCGAAGTGGATATTCCTTTTTGGACCGAAAAAGACACTGATTTCTTGGACTAGCTTAAGTTAGGACAACCCAGCATCAGCAGACCTGCGTTCCTCATTTGGGAGTATCATACTATGATTTCCGTCATAGATTTTACACTATAATTTGCTTTGGTTTAATTCCATCAACCCACCAACAAATTCTTTGAATCAATGCAGACTTCGTTAAAGGCATGCTACAATACTAGTTGGGAATATGTTTTAGTCTTGTTAGAGTACTTCAAATATTATTATTACTATTATTTGTATATATATAAAACTTATTTTTCACTTTTATTTTATTTGTATGATGATAACATGAGTTGAGCTTAAGTAGAGAATTGAGGATTCGTATAGTGACCCCAACTTGATTGGGTTGAGGCTTAGTAGTGGTTGTTTTTTAATTCAATCAACTCAATCTTTATCTTTGTGTTGATCTGTTTTGAGTTTGTCACAGTTTGGTCATTTGAATTGTTTGTGTGCAGCTATTGTACTTTGACCAAGAAGAAAATGGTGGACTGAGCCTTGCATTACAGGTTCCATTCTCTATCCATTCTTTTGGTTGCTCCGTATTGCAGTCAAGTAATCTAGATTATCACACTTCAAATTACTTGATATTTTAGGCTTGAACAGATAATGAGCTCCTTTTTTTTTCTTCTTATAAATATATGGATATGAATATCTGTTTTCTGTTCAAATCAAGAATTAATGTCTAGTCCTAAATGATGCACTATCTTTCTTTAGCAACAATAGTAAGTTTCTAAATTCACGTCTCTGCCACATATGCCGAGTTTATGTTATTTCGATTTTATTTAATGACAGAATAGCAGATGTGGGGCAATTCAAATATGAAACTAGATTCGATTAGCGTCCTCACACTAAGTGATCTCGTTGTTCAAATACTACCCTTTTTCTGCATCCTTTTTTCATACCCTCTCATATAAGCTAGGCCATCTGCTCTTGGATTAATCACAATCATTGTTCAAATTGATTCTTATTTGGTTTATGATCCTGGTAGTACTACATTAATATTGCTGTACATTTATTGTGGCTTATTTTCAGGAAGATAGTTCAAAAACAGGTAAAGTCACATCTGCCGGCATGTATTTTCTTGGATTCCCAGTTTATCACATTGATCAAACCCAAAACTCGGTGAGTTTATATCTATGCGTAATTTCAATTTTTAGTTGTTTCTCTAAAGTTTGTGGTCATATGTTCACATTCCTTTTTCTGCTTGAGCTAATGTATAGGTAACAGCTGCAAAGGATCCAGACTCAGCTTTTTTCAAGAAACTGGATGGATTTCAACCATGTGAGATAACCGAGCTAAAAGCTGGCACACATGTCTTTGCAGTTTATGGTATCTTTCCCATGCCGTCCTTAAAACTCTATTTAATTCAATGGAAATACAATACTCAATACTGAATGCTTCTTTCTGTTTTCTGGTTGACATTTGTAGGTGACAATTTTTTTAAAAGTGTGAGCTACGCCATTGAAGCTGTTTGCGCTGAACCTTTTACTGAGGAAAAAGAGAATCTTAGAGCAATAGAAGCTCAACTTTTGTCAAAAAGGGTTGAACTGTCTAAGTTTGAAACAGAATATAGGGAGGTCTGTGCTCCTTCTCATATTCGCCAATCTCTTGCTTTTACTATTTATTTTGATTTTTACTGTATTCCTTTCTGGTTTTGGCAGGTCTTAGCGCAATTTACTGAGATGACTAGTAGATATGCACAAGAAATGCAAGCTGTAAGTTTGAAGTGATTTTATATCCTAGGACAAAGTTAAATTATATTGTTTTAACTTCTTCGGTTATCAATAGATCGATGAGCTTCTTAAGAACCGCAATGAAATTCATGCTTCCTATACAACTCTTCCCGCAATGAAGCGTAGTAGTAGCAATCGAAGTAAGAACAGAGGTGGTTCCAAGGAGGCCAGTGAAGATGGTCCAGTAAGAGACAAGAAGGCTTCAAGAGACCGGTCAAAGAAGAAGAAATGGTTCAACATTCCCTTAAAGGTTGACAAAAGGAAGCCTTGTTAAAATAGGGTGAGCATCTCTCTCTCTCTCTCTCTCTCTCTCTCTCTCTCATATATATATATATATATATATATATATATAACTATTAATAAGGAGTATTATATGGTTATTCATGAGCTTTAAGGGCTGTTATATGTTTATCCATAAACTTTAACAAATTCTACATCATTCTATGGCACTCTCTGGAGGTTTCAGTTATCTTACTCAACTTCAAAATTTTGGTGGCATTCTATGTCTCCCTATGGTGAATAGGAAATATCATACAGAATGCATAATGATCTACATCTCAATATCTTTTTAACTTTCCTACGTATTGAGTACGTACAAGTGCATAGTTTGGTACTTGCCTCGCCAGCAGACAAAATAAATCTATGCCTTCAAAAATATATAATTTATACTCTTTGTTCCCAATACAGATTGGAAGTGCAGATCACATCTTCTGTATATCAATATATTTGCAACAAATGATTTATGATACTAAAATAAATTGCAACCACAATATAAATATGAAGAAACATAATTTTACTGATAAAATGATGCGGGTACAAGTCTGTTTGTTCCCTTGATCCTTCTCTCTCGATCGTTCTCCGTGATTTGAGGGCTTAACCAGTGTATTTCTTGAACGTAGGATGATGCGAACTTTCTTAGGATGTATTTGATCTCCAGGAAAAGGAGGAACAAACGGTGATCACTTCGATGTATTTGAGAAAGACAATATTTGATATCTTTGATCTCTTTCTGAATACTCCATGATTTTAATGGAATTTCGAGATCGTATATTTGATCTCTTTGCACT